TCATAAAACACTTATTAGAAAGGGAATATCCTGGTTCGTTGGTTTTTATTTTTATTTTTATTTTTTCAGTCCAAATGTGTTTAAAGCTATAAAAGTTAGTATTTTGTTTTTCCAGGAAGTCATATCGGTGTAGAGCCAACAGTGAGTATTGGACAAATTTTCATTTTTATATATAAGAAAAAAGGATGTTATAGGTGACTTTGGCTACTCCTATAGGCCTTCTTCACAGATTTTGATAATACATATTTCTCAGACAAGGACAGGGAAAGGATATTAGTTCACTGTATTTGATAAATAATATGTACACATTTATATTTTCAATCTAGACGGATCGATTCGTTGCTGTAATGAATGGGATTGAAGAGAAGGTTGTAGACTTTATAAATTAAATTTTTTTTTTTATTTATTTATCAAATTACTTATTATTGGAAATTATTTTTTAACTTAGGTCATTCCTGGCAATGCTGCGGCCGTAGATTCGAAGTTACCGTTTCAAGGACTCAACAAATTTGGGCAAGCATTTTTAACTAGGTTTCAGGTTTGTTATACGGGTATTTTTGGTAATAATATGCATTGCATTAGCGACATCTGATAATTACTTAATTAGTAGGTTTCACAACTTCCAAGTCCTATCCTTGAGAATATGTCGATAATTGATAGTCCTGGCATTTTAGCTGGCGACAAGCAGCGCCTTGATCGCGGTTATGATTTTACTTCCGTGATAGAATGGTTCGCTGAAAGAGCGGATTTGATCTTATTATTTTTTGACTCTCATAAATTAGATATTTCCTTGTGGAATTTTAGCCATCAATTTTGGTAAATCGTTAGATAACGCCTAGTATATTAAAACGTTAGCTATTATTGTTAATTTGACAAATATTTTAAGATTCGTACGAAGATCTAACAATACATACATCATCAGCCTTTTCAATAAGTTGGGTTTTTAAGTTATTGAACTTTTCAAATTTGTAAACACTAAGACCAGTTTTAAATCGCTCCAAATTTGGAAAATCGCCGGGTGCTAAACGATTTTTGTGTTGAATTTTTACAAATTCTTGATCTAATCTCGATATAAGTTCAT